GGTAGAGCACCCCTTTCAGTGTCTTAGGGTTAGGGAACCTAAACAAGTGTAGAGCACCCCTTTCAGTGTGTTAGGGTTAGGGAACCCGAGCAAGGCAATTTTAAGCACCCCTTTAAGTGTCTTAGGGTTAGGGAACCTAAACAAGGTTAGAACACCCCTTTAAGTGTGTTAGGGAACCCGAGCAAAAGTAGAGCACCCCTTTAAGTATCTTAGGGTTAGCTAACCTAAACAAGAGTAGAGCACCCCTTTAAGTGTTTGAGGGTTAGGGAATCTGAGCAAGGATAAGGAACCCCTTTCAGTGTCTTAGGGTTAGGGAACCTTAACAAAGGTAGAGCACCCCTTTTGGTGTCTTAGGGCTAGGGAACCTGAGCAAGGATAAGACAGCCCTTTAAGTGTCTCAGTGTAAGTTAACATGAGCAAGGATAGTGAACCCCTTTGAGAGACTTAGGGTTAGGCAACTTGAGCAAAGGTAGTGAACTTAACTGTCTTAGGGTTAGGAATCCCCTTTAAGTGTCTTGTGGTTTGGGAACCTGAGCAAGGGTAGAGCATCCCTTTAAGTGTCTTAGGGTTTGGAAGTTTTCACATAAGAGAACCAAGGCATAGGTACAATGCCCCTTCTGGAGTCTTAGGGCCAGGGAACCAGGACATGGTAGTGCTCCCCTTTACAGTCTTAGGGTTAGAGAATCAGGGCAAGGGTAGGGCTCCCCTTTTACAGTCTTAGGGTTAGAGAACCAGGACATGGTGGGGCTCCCCTTTTACAGTCTTAGGGTTAGGGAACCAGGACATGGTGGGGCTCCCCTTTTACAGTCTTAGGGTTAGGGAACCAGGACATGGTAGTGCTCCCCTTTTACAGTCTTAGGGTTAGAGAATCAGGGCAAGGGTAGGGCTCCCCTTTTACAGTCTTAGGGTTAGGGAATCAGGGCAAGGGTAGGGCTCCCCTTTTACAGTCTTAGGGTTAGAGAATCAGGGCAAGGGTAGGGCTCCCCTTTTACAGTCTTAGGGTTAGGGAACCAGGACATGGTAGTGCTCCCCTTTTACAGTCTTAGGGTTAGAGAATCAGGGCAAGGGTAGGGCTCCCCTTTTACAGTCTTAGGGTTAGAGAATCAGGGCAAGGGTAGGGCTCCCCTTTTACAGTCTTAGGGTTAGGGAATCAGGGCAAGGGTCGGACTCCCCTTTTACAGTCTTAGGGTTAGAGAACCAGGACATGGTAGGGCTCCTCTTTTTCCAGTTTTAGGGTTAGGGAACCAGGACATGGTGGGGCTCCCCTTTTACGGTCTTAGGGTTAGGGAACCAGGACATGGTAGTGCTCCCCTTTTACAGTCTTAGGGTTAGAGAATCAGGGCAAGGGTAGGGCTCCCCTTTTACAGTCTTAGGGTTAGAGAATCAGGGCAAGGGTAGGGCTCCCCTTTTACAGTCTTAGGGTTAGGGAATCAGGGCAAGGGTCGGACTCCCCTTTTACAGTCTTAGGGTTAGGGAATCAGGGCAAGGGTAGGGCTCCCCTTTTACAGTCTTAGGGTTAGAGAATCAGGGCAAGGGTAGTGCTCCCCTTTTACAGTCTTAGGGTTAGAGAACCAGGACATGGTGGGGCTCCCCTTTTACAGTCTTAGGGTTAGGGAACAAGGACATGGTAGTGCTCCCCTTTTACAGTCTTAGGGTTAGAGAATCAGGGCAAGGGTAGGGCTCCCTTTTTACAGTCTTAGGGTTAGAGAATCAGGGCAAGGGTAGGGCTCCCCTTTTACAGTCTTAGGGTTAGAGAATCAGGGCAAGAGTCGGACTCCCCTTTTACAGTCTTAGGGTTAGGGAACCAGGACATGGTAGTGCTCCCCTTTTACAGTCTTAGGGTTAGAGAATCAGGGCAAGGGTAGTGCTCCCCTTTTACAGTCTTAGGGTTAGAGAACCAGGACATGGTGGGGCTCCCCTTTTACAGTCTTAGGGTTAGAGAACCAGGACATGGTAGGGTTCCTCTTTTTCCAGTTTTAGGGTTAGGGAATCAGGGCAAGGGTCGGGATCCCCTTTTACAGTCTTGGGGCTAGGGAACAAGAACATGGTAGGGCTCCCCTTTTAGTGTCCTTGAATCCATGCCTGAGTGATCACTGTCCAAATCTTATGTATCTGTGTATCCTGCACGTCTTTGGCATTCTAGATCTCTGGGCCACTGACATATGACAGAATCTGTGGTTTTGTTTCCTGCACATCTTTGGCATTCTAGATCTCTGGGCCACTGACATATGACAGAATCTGTGGTTTTGTATCCTGCACATGTTTGGCATTCTAGATCTCTGGGCCACTGACATATGACAGAATCTGTGGTTTTGTATCCTGCACATCTTTGGCATTCTAGATCTCTGGGCCACTGACATATGACAGAATCTGTGGTTTTGTATCCTGCACATCTTTGGCATTCTAGATCTCTGGGCCACTGACATATGACAGAATCTGTGGTTTTGTATCCTGCACATCTTTGGCATTCTAGATCTCTGGGCCACTGACATATGACAGAATCTGTGGTTTTGACTTTTGTCAGATTATGTATCGTGTTTGTTGTATTTTATTATAGATATATATTTCATTGTACAGTTGACATTGTCAGTTTCATTTGTCCTTAAATTTTGTGCCGCATATTCCTGCTCCCTATTACAACGATGGCTCAATTTTATCGTAAAATATAGCACAGGCTGTAGGAAAGGACACATGTATGTGGCTTGGAGAAAATCATAGGTGGGTATAATTGCGTTTGTTGCTTGCGAGGCTGATTGTTTGCATACAACTGACCATGATACTTTAAATAATAGCGTCAAGCCTAAATATATATAATAAGTAACAATTTTTAAGGCGATATTACTATATGTCCATTTCTTCAATTGTTGCAATGATACCTCAATTTAAAAAGATAAATACATGTGTTTTTTTGGACACCCACCTAAGTGTAAGCTGGTGAGACATAACATTTTCTCCTGACATTCACACCCTTGTAATAAAGATAAGGCCGTTATCATCTCCCGCCCGACCTGAAATTATTAAAATACTTCTAATACTTTTCTTATCACATCTCTCCCGCTGCAGTTTAAATTTATGTATCGCCCGATTAACCAAAAAGTAAAAAATGCTGCTTCTATTGCATACTAAAAAACCCAACTCTCCTTGATCATTCTTCAGCTATATTTATTAAAAAATCGATTCCAAAGCAAAATGACTAGATCTACGTCATCAATTTAAGGACTGCTTGCGTGTTCTAAACCTTAAGCCTGGCCGCTGACAATGAAAATGACACATATTTATTCCACTTTTTGTCAATTATTACATTACATTACATTACATTACATTACATTACATTACATTACATTACATAACATTAAGCCCAGCCCAGCCCAGCCCCGCTCCGCTCAGCATAAAATATACGCACGCAGGGGAAGACATTTTCAACCACTGGTCGATAGCAACACAACACAGCACGGCAGGAAACAAACATGAATGGTAGATATGAGCCCTATCCCATCCTGTGCTAGATATAATACCTTTTCCACACCCAGAGCAAAGCCATCTTGCTCAAGAGATATATACAGTACTATGCAATATTGTACTGCCATCTAAACCACGCATTATTACAACAATGTTATTGATAGGCCGTAACAACCTCAGTTGATACATTGTCACACTTTCCTCTCACAAGTTGTTGCAAGTAAACTTTATTCTAAAATGTTTCCACGTAAAAGGACAGATGTTCCCACTTGGATTCGAATGTCAACCCTTGCGATTCTGAACTCAGCAACCCTACCCCTCTGCTACCAAGACTCTCGTTATCGAAATGGATATTTGGAGACTATTTATGTTTTTAAGAAATTGTTCTTGAGAAGGGTCAAGGCGATATAGTTACTTATATCCGTTTTGTATCTATAGTGTGGGGTGTGGTATTACCAGCTGATCATTCCGTACATGAGGTATGGGCCGGGCCAGAACACCAACACCATTCTTAAACTTTCTCGGCTGACAGATGTTTCAGTGGCAACACAGGAGAGAGGACACCGGTCGTTTGTAGTTTTATAAATCAGAATATTCATATTGGCAAACACATTTGCGACGAGACTGTGTGCAAAGAGGAAAGTCCCCACATCGTGCAGCTTGTGTTACACAGAAAGTTAAAAAATACCACCGTATCTGGTCCCCTGTACTTTGTTCTTTGAGAAAAATGAGTACATTGCAATCATAACCTGCAAAATTCTTCCACTGCTTATCAGTGGCTGTGTGGGCGAATGGGTAGCGTGCTGAACTTACGATATATACAGTGGATGGAATTTTGAGTTCGATCCCACTTGGATGTTTTGTAAATATTAGATTTTGATGACACTGTATAAAGTGTTAATTTAAAGCAGAACATACTTGTAATTCAGAGCACCCGAGGCTGCATGACGATAATTAACCTATCCACTTTGAATATTAGGCAGGTGACGCTCATCATATCGTCATAATTTATTTTCGTGGAAAATATGGCGCTTTTTCGAAGGAGCTCAAGAGAAGTGCGACCGTCAGATATGAGTTTTATACGAATTTGTCCCTTCCTTTGTCAGTCACAGAATATTTGAAATCACAAACTTGTGGCTGAAGTGCATTTCCAACATCAAGGAAATGACGTTTACATACACGCCTTACTTTCACTGGCCTTAGATTTAGGGGATTTTGAATTTAAAGTTTGAATAGTGCCCTGAGAAATGGTAAAAGTTATATAAATATAACATACAATATTCAACAAAATATTATTCAAAATCAACGAAAAGCTTTGCTCTTTTTCTTTTCGATTCTATCAGTCGTATATGTCTTTGTGGTTGAGGCTTCTTCTGCGTATTTACAAAAGTGGAACTATTATGTAATATGTAGTATTCACCCAGGAACTACTTCTGCCACGTTTTCAACTAATTAGTATGCGCTGGGACACCAACCACCTTGCACCCCTTGCACCCTGCACCCTGCACCCCCACAAAACAAGGACAGAAGGGGCAACTTACTCCAAGACCCAAGTAGTCAAAGGGCAGACAATTAACGGAGGGCATAAAACCGCACGTGCCCCGAGTCATCCTGCCTGGTGTCTTATCAGTCAATCACAACCACGACGACAACAACAACAACAGCTTCAGCATCCTAATGCAGCCGTTTCGTATTCAGGGCACAGATAGAAAAAGGTAGAGTATATGTTAACACTGCAACTTCATGTTCGTCTCCCATTCGCCACTCCAGAAAACCCCTGTGTCTGTCATCCGTATTTCTGCTTTGCAACGTCTTTAAACCTGAACCGAAATAAATACCATTGAATCAGTGAAAGTACCAAATTAATATATCCTCGTCATTAGCTCCACGTTCAGCACAATGTGACCTTTACTTGCCTATTTACTGGTTAGGGATTCCTTCACTGAATTCCCAAATATAAATGCATCAAATCATGAATGACTTGGCCTCGATAGCCTCATAACTTGACTCATATTGTCGATTTGTGCATTTCAATTGTTCTTTAAAATTTGATAAGTAATCAGGCGAATATGTCGTTCATTTCACAGAACGTCGGGGTTTGGGTGGGTGTGGTTTTGGGGTGGGGTGGGGGGGGGGGGGGGGTTGTATGAAAACATCGTTTGGAATTAAAACTTAGTATTTGTTGGTTGGCCATGTCATCAGGACAGATCCGAATCCGTACATGTGTTTAGTGTCGGATCTGCGTCGAGGATCGCCTGCTGGATGATAACGTTAAGCTTCGTCTCGGGTAGCGCACCTAATTGCCATGGGGATTTTATGGACGCATCAAACAATTGCGAAACAGAACTAAGCGTTATTATTACAGCAACATGACGGCAGTTTGTAAATAATCGAGTCTGGAGGGAATATGCTCGGGATTGTAGGAGTCAATGTTTGCCAAAGACAGGAACAACATAAAAAGACTCCAAACCCAGCTAGACAATTAGTTGTGGAGTCAGAAAGTAGCTTACAAGATGAGGATTTGAAAATATTGTTATCACATATGGCGCCATGGTTTGTGTATTTCATGCATTAGAATTGAAGAATGGATTTTAATCAATTGTTTTGGTATCTCTTTTGATGATGTTTTGAAATGTTGTTGAATATTGCTGACTTGAACATCATGATGTTGATCTTTACTGGTGTTAACCAAGTCAGATTTAGCGATAGTTTTGTTTGAGTACTCCCTTCGTATTGACTCACGTCAGGGATGGTTACAAGTGTAGGCCCAATCAAACGTGCCCGGTCAGGACAACCTTGTCGGTCTCTCGGCAGGCTTACAACTGTACCAGAAAAGATTGAACAAACATACATGTGTACTATACTCAGAGGAATATTGTCAGGGATGGAGTAACTTTGGTCCCAACTGGAGACATTTAGACCTTTGTTCATATTTATGAACTCTTTAGTCTGTAAACTGGAATGTCATTTGATTAGCAGGCATGTTTTAGATAGCACAGGGACATGTTGTGGTGGGAAATATTTGTCTTAATGCATGGTGAAAAAGATAAATTTTTATACCAGAATATTGCTTGATAAACATTAGTTTTATATGGCCTTTTGACATGCACCAAAGGGATAAGCAATATATATTACAAATTAGATAAATATTTGTATACACATGTATAAAGATATGAAATAATGTATATAAATGATATTTTAGCACTTTCTGTAATCAAAAAAGTTTTTGTCTGGAGTAACAGATGTTGCATTTAATGTTATTGATATACAGGCTGTGCCAAAGACTATTGAGTCAACTTGCCCAAAACTTGGCTCTTTGCTTCATTTTTCATGCATTTTAGTGTTAATTGTATGGTCTAAAGGGACTAGTATTAGTTAAAGGCACATGACTGATCTGAATTTTACTAGACTGCCGCTTTAGACTAGTGGCTAAAGTCGCCTAAAGTACAGGCAACCCCTAGACTAACACCTAGTCAATGAAAACATGTCTTTAAAAATACTATAAAATTGTTTTTTCGAAAGCTAACTAGACCTGGTTAGTTTGATCTAGACTTGCATAGGCTTCTAGTAGAAAGAGAATATAAATTCCACAGTCATGGTGCAGGACACAGGCAACCCATATGTATTCATTCATGGTAATACCCAGAGACATCTCCACGGAGCCTGGGATGTACATATTGCCTTACTGGACAAACATGGGAGCTGGATTAGTGAGAGTTACAGTGTCATTAAGATTGATGTTGTTGTTGTCGCAGGCAGGCATTGTTGGGGATGAGGGATGAGGGATATGGGAGGATGGTGAAACAGAATACTGTGGATACAGATGATGTTATTAGGGAGCCCAGTCTTTGGGGACCCGTGTGGTTTGGATGTCACGGACTTGGCTCATGTCGCCCACCTAACCCTTGTGGGGCTTTACTGACCACGAGGTCGTGGTAGATGTGTTGTTGAAGTGTGACCAGTAATTGGGTGTTTGTAATTGTTGTTTGGAACACATTCATAGCCAATTCATATTCCTGTGACTTGGGATATGTTTGAGTATGAAGGTAATGAACATGTTATCACAATTGTTGGTTGGCCGATAGTTCCAGTGCTGCTCATTCTGGGGTGGTCCAGAGGGTAAAGTGGTTGCTCATCATGATGAAGATCCAGGTTCTATTCTCAACATGGGTACAATATGCAGTCTGCAATTTTTGCCACTAGTCCAAAGCCTGAGTCTGGTAAATTGTTTCCAGTTTCAGCAATAGAAACTAACAGTTTTAGTCCACTAACCCCTAAAATGATAACAAATAGCAAAACCCTGAGGGCCAATTTCTATTAGTCCTATTGGGCAATTTGGCAAGGACTATAGGAGTAGTGCCAATCTCTAATGCTGAGATTAGTAAGAACAGTTGATCATTGTATAGCATCACCACCAGGTATAGCATCACTGTATAGCATCACAACCAGGTATGGCATCACTGTAGAGCTTCACAACCTGGTGTAGCACCACTGTATAGCATCACCACCAGGTATGGCATCACTGTTTAGCATCACAACCAGGTATAGCCTCACTGTATAGCATCACTGTATAGCATCACTGTATAGCATCACCACCAGGTATAGCATCACTGTATAGCATCACAGCCAGGTATAGCATCACTGTATAGCATCACCACCAGGTATGGCATCACTGTTTAGCATCACAACCAGGTATAGCATCACTGTATAGCATCACCACCAGGTATGGCATCACTGTACAGCATCACCACCAGGTATAGTCTCACTGTATAGCATCACAGCCAGGTATAGCATCACTGTATAGCATCACCACCAGGTAGAGCATCACAACCAGGTAGAGCATCACTGTATGGCATCACTGTTTAGCATCACCACCAGGTATGGCATCACTGTTTAGCATCACCACCAGGTAGAGCATCACTGTATAGCATCACCACCAGGTAGAGCATCACTGTAAAGCATCACCACCAGGTATAGTCTCACTGTATGGCATCACTGTATAGCATCACAACCAGGTATAGCATCACTGTATAGCATCACCACCAGTTATGGCATCACTGTATAGCATCACCACCAGGTAGAGCATCACAACCAGGTATAGTCTCACTGTATGGCATCACTGTTTAGCATCACCACCAGGTATGGCATCACTGTTTAGCATAACCACCAGGTATGGCATCACTGTTTAGCATCACAACCAGGTATAGCATCACTGTATAGCATCACCACCAGGTATGGCATCACTGTACAGCATCACCACCAGGTATAGTCTCACTGTATAGCATCACAGCCAGGTATAGCATCACTGTATAGCATCACCACCAGGTAGAGCATCACAACCAGGTAGAGCATCACTGTATGGCATCACTGTTTAGCATCACCACCAGGTATGGCATCACTGTTTAGCATCACCACCAGGTAGAGCATCACTGTATAGCATCACCACCAGGTAGAGCATCACTGTAAAGCATCACCACCAGGTATAGTCTCACTGTATGGCATCACTGTATAGCATCACAACCAGGTATAGCATCACTGTATAGCATCACCACCAGTTATGGCATCACTGTATAGCATCACCACCAGGTAGAGCATCACAACCAGGTATAGTCTCACTGTATGGCATCACTGTTTAGCATCACCACCAGGTATGGCATCACTGTTTAGCATCACCACCAGGTAGAGCATCACTGTATAGCATCACCACCAGGTAGAGCATCACTGTATAGCATCACCACCAGGTATAGTCTCACTGTATGGCATCACTGTATAGCATCACAACCAGGTATAGCATCACTGTATAGCATCACCACCAGTTATGGCATCACTGTATAGCATCACCACCAGGTATAGCATCACTGTATAACATCACCACCAGGTATAGTCTCACTGTATAAGCATCACAACCAGGTATAGCATCACTGTATAGCATCACCACCAGGTATAGTCTCACTGTATAGCATCACTGTATAGCATCACAACCAGGTATAGCATCACTGTATAGCATCACAACCCGGTATAGCATCACTGTATAGAATCACCACCAGGTATAGCATCACTGTATAGCATCAAAACCAGGTATAGCATCACTGTGTAGCAATGCAACCTTGTAAACGTTATCACCAAAATTATGTTAGTGTAGCATACCAAATATAATGTCTCAATCATCACTTATTCACAATTTAGGAAAAAGAAATTACTAATATTATTAATGAGTGTTTATAGATATACTTAGTTTCATGCGTTCATCATCAGTATTATACAAAGGCACAGAGCAACATGTATTTGACTAATAAGTATAACTGCAGCTGACAGGTACATGTTGTAATACTTTGATATAACTCAAAAGAAACTATAGTTTTGTGTGTTGTCCACTTTCCAGTGCCAAATGTAAGCTTTGAAGTCTACTCTTCGTCTTTCCTGGAGAAGTTCCTAGAAAGCCACGCAGTCATGACACAGGTAAGGCTAAAAAAATAATAGTCCTGGTGCCCAGGCACTGCCCACATCAGACCCGTGAAGATTCCGGGGTAGAATAGGTCTTCAGCAACCCATGCTTGCCGTAAAGGGTGACCATGCTTGTCGTGAAAGGCGACTGACGGGATCAGGTGGTCAGGCTTGCTGACTTGGTTGATGCATGTCATCGATCCCAATTGCGTGGATCTATGCGCATGATATCAATCACTGGATTGTCTGGTCCAGGCTCGATTATCTACAGACCGCCGTCATATAGCTGGAATATTGCTGAGTGTGGCGTTAAACAACAAACCAACCAACCAACTGCCCACATCGTCATAAAGTTCGCCACACGTTTCTTTTTTATTTCATTTTTTTTTAAATTTAAAAAAAAATCCATAAATATTCCTAGCTCAAATACTGTATTCCAGTATTATAATCACCAAGGAATACATTTATGTAGGAAGGCCCTTTCCCAGGTTGATTGTACACAACTGTTTATTTGCTTACATACTAGTTTGAATAACAAAAAAAACACACCGCCCGACCGCACTAAACTTTCAAAAGCCCATTTCCTGAGAACCAATTCTTTATTTTGTAAGCCTAAGAAGTTTGACATTGTCAGAAGGAAGAAACCATTATTAGATGGGTTGAGGCTCTGTGGTTTATTGTATGATGTGAAAGAACCTCTCCATATGTCTGATCTTTCTACTTCCTTTAGAGAATAGGGGGCACGGGTGGCCCAGTCGTCTAAGGCGCAGCAATTCTCTGTGCAGAGTTGCGTCCCTTGGGCACGCCAGAAACCTATGATTGTGGGTTCGAATCCCGGTTCACCCCGATTATGTTTCTAGGTTTGTCAGCACCATACCCATGCTCGTGGGTTTCACCGAAGTGGTAAACGTCTGAGACCTGCATCACTTCGGGCTCTCCTCCCACATTAAGCTGACACGCCGCGATATAACTGGAATACTGTTAAAAGCGGCTTTAAACCCATCTCACTCGCTCCTTTAGAGAATAACAGTTTTAAATGCAGTTTACATCCACATTTGTCACACATTTGAAAGATGAAAGGATCAATTCAGCTTGTTTCAGTTGTAAATTAGCAATGTTTTAATTTCATGAACGTTTTGATTACTCAGTCAAAATGTTTTTTAAATGTGAGTTTTCATCCTATGAAACCATTGCAGAAAGCCCCTGTGTCGATATGCTGCTTCAGTTAGAGTCTCATTTACCACTCTCGTCCTTCACAGGGAAACAGTGGGCTGAAACCTAAAGAAGGGGAGATAACTTCCAGACCCTGGCAGTGGCCAATCAACTACAGGGTAAGTTTATGGGTTTGATTTTGTCACTGGTGAGACAGACAGTCACATGTAACCCTATCTTGTGAGAAGGCTGAAAGCAGGAACTAGTGATCTTAATGGCTGACCGCTAGGAGAGGTTCTCGTTTCACTACAGTGACGACTTAGAGGATTGAGCATCAGCCCAGAAAGCCGAAGGTTGGTGGTTTGATCCAGGCTGCATCATACCATACGATGTTAAAAGATGGTAACCTGCCTTGTTCTCAGCATTAAGGAGATAGAACAAGGACTGTCTGCTTTGGAGTCTGTATACTGTGTCTGTATACTGTGTGGGGGCGGTCGGGTAGCCTGTTGGTTAAAGCGTTCGCTCTACACATCAAAGACCAAGGTTCGATTCCCGACATGGGTACAATGTGTGAAGCCCATTTCTGGTGTCCCCCGTCATGATATTGCTGGAATATTGCTTAAAGCGGCGTAAAACCATACTCACTCACTCACTGTATACTGTGTCTGAGTGGGGTATCTACAGATTATTTACAGATCGCCGTCATATAGCTGGAATATTGCTGAGTGCGGCGTAAAACAACAAACCAACCAACAAAAATCAATTAGTGATATGATTGCACGTTCTTTTCTTTCTGTAGGGTCAGATATTTTCTGCCAAGAACCACCGTATCTACCTCCTGGGCAATCCTGTCATCTTCTGGGGACTGCTTGTTATCAAGGCCTTGTTCCTCGTGTTCTTCGTTATACACAGGATAAAGTTAAAGCGTGGTATTCAAGTACCTGAGCCTATCAAAGGTAAGTGAGAGATCACCGCCTCAGGTTGTATGCTGTCATATCTACTGAACACAGACACTGCTCCTTGACAGACAGGTCCCCAATGTCTGTGATGTGTGCAAATTGTGAACAATTGATTACCTTCTGTTGATTATTTATATATGTAAGATATACATCTGATATCACTTTTGCCTTTCTTTTTGAGCAGAGTATATTATCTATTGATATTATTTATTCTTCATCATGAATCGTGTGCTGGATGTCCTCCTATACGCATAATGCACTGTGACCTACTTCATGCACTGTGACCTACTTCATGCACCATGCACTGTGACCTACTTCATGCACCATGCACTGTGACCTACTTCATGCACCATGCACTGTGACCTACTTCATGCAGTGTGACCTACTTCATGCAGTGTGACCTACTTCATGCATCATGCACTGTGACCTACTTCCTGCACCATGCACTGTCACCTACTTCATGCACCATGCACTGTCACCTACTTCATGCCCTATCACCTACTTCATGCATCGTACACTGTGACCTACTTCATGCATCATGCACTGTCACCTACTTCATGCACTGTCACCTACTTCATGCACTGTCACCTACTTCATGCACTGTCACCTACTTCATTCACTGTCACCTACTTCATGCATTATGCACTGTCACCTACTTCATTCATTGTCACCTACTTCATGCACTGTCACCTACTTCATGCACTGTCGCCTACTTCATTCACTGTGACCTACTTCATGCATTATGCACTGTCACCTACTTCATTCATTGTCACCTACTTCATGCACTGTCACCTACTTCATTCACTGTGACCTACTTCATGCATTATGCACTGTCACCTACTTCATTCATTGTCACCTACTTCATGCATTGTCACCTACTTCATGCACTGTCATCTACTTCATGCACTGTCACCTACTTCATGCACTGTCACCTACTTCATGCATTATGCACTGTCACCTACTTCATTCACTGTCACCTACTTCATTCACTGTCACCAACTTCATGCACTGTGACCTACATCATGCACTGTCACCTACTTCATGCATCATGCACTGTCACCTACTTCATTCACTGTGACCTACTTCATGCAATGTGACCTACTTAATGCATCATGTGACATACTTCCTGTCTGTTTCCCTTCCAGTGTACAATGAGAAGATGTTCCGGGCGTGCTGGTGGCTGCTGCTGGGCTGGGGGCTGCACTACCTGCCCTTCTGGGGCATGGGCCGCGTCCTGTACTTCCACCACTACTTCCCCGCCTTCCTGTTCAGCGCCATGTTCGGAGGTACAGTAACCTACCCATGCACTGACACCACGGGATCACGTCTTGGGATATTGGGTTAAGACACATGGAGGCTAATGACAGTGTGAGGGTTCAATTGGTTTGGAATCTGGAGATGGATGTTGAGGTGGCAATGATGTTGTCATCGAGACTTAATTTGTTTTTACGGAACTGAAAGCAGAAATGACAACCTTCTGATATTGGCATAATCATTACCATATTGTGAGCAGAATTCTGCCACTATGATAAAGTGAAGTATATTATAAAGTTTATGAAAACATCATTGCCATTAATTTTGACTAGTTATTGACCTCGCAACAGGAATTGTCATTTATACAACCATTTGATATATCTAATCACTTGATTTAGCTTGCAAAGTTTAGATGATAATATACAATGCAAAAGATATATATTTTAATCAAAACCATAGTCAATCATGCTAATCAGTGCTAATGGCAAATACGAATCTGCCTTTTGATTTTTTTTTCAAATCGGATTCAAGTGACCTTGTATATCATATCATATCATATCATATCATATCAAATATCATATCATATCATATCATATCATATCATATCATATCATATCATATCATATCATATCATATCATATCATATCATATCATCCATAGCCTGTCCTATTCTATTACTTATGTACCTGAAAACTCATGGTTTATGATGCTGAAACTTGTTAGCAATGGTCTCATTATTGGGGCAATCTATGATGAGCTTGGGTCAATCTTAGCGCTAAGATGATCGTAACTCCCATACTCCAACATAGGCTCACAACAGTCATATCGCTAAGATCTCTTTGTGGAATGGGCCTGCCCTTGTTGCTGTTTTGCTGACACGTCTACTGTCTGTCTGTCACAGGTGTGATGCTGGACTACCTGATCACCCGATTCTGTCTGACACTGCCGGAGAACTGGGCGGTGAAAGTATTCCCCTGGCTGCTGGTGTTAATCATCTTTGTGCTGGTTGGCAGGTAATGTCCTTCACAGACATATATACAGTCAAGAGACTATCTACAGTTTGAAATACACTTCTGATAATACAGTTACCCTGTGTGGCGCTCGGCATTAAGGGGCTACCTCCGTGGTCTAGTGGTAGGTCGTCCACCCAGAGAGCGGAAGGTCCGGGGTTCAATCTCCACCCGCGTCATACCAAAAGACGATAAAAGATGGTACTTGTTGTTACCCTGTCTGGCTCTCGGCATTAAAGGGCTAAAATAAGGACTGGTCGGCTTGGAGTCAGTATACTGTGTCTGAGTGGGGTATTCATGTTAAACTGCGGCATGGTATCTCAGTGATCTAGCACTATAATTCGGCATCAGTCCGGACCAGTACTAGCAGCCACACAAACACACACACGTGCATGCACGTTGCTATATAAGTGCAATAATCTTGGACACTACGTTAAACCCCATTTCACTTGTCTTCATCCTGTGTGACAACAATATTAATTATCATTTTTAAGCCTTTTTTTCAAATCATATTTTTCATATATCTGTGTATAGAGTAAGAAACAAGGAAATACGCATAGCAGTTTTCTTGATCTGTAGGAGGGGGCACGGGTGGCCCAGTCGTCTAAGGCGCCGCGATTCGCTGTGCAGAGTTGCGTCCCTTGGGTACGCCAGAAATCTATGATTGTGGGTTCGAATCCCGTTTGCTCCGATTATGTTTCTAGGTCTGTCAGCACCATACCCGTGCTCGTGGGTTTCACCGAAGTGGTAAACGTCTTAGACCTGCATCACTTCGGGCTTTCCTCCCACATTAAGCTTAAACGCCGCGATATAACTGGAATACTGTTAAAAGCGGCGTTAAACCCAACTCACTCACTCATTGATTTTGAGCCAGTGGAGGTTCTATAGAATCGGTGTGATATGGTCAAACTTTTTGGATTTAGTTGCTGTTGCTAAGTTGCTGTAATCTAACATTCCAGTTTTTACCTGTTCTACCCCCTGACGTTTGGCACATCTGGTCCAATGGCCAGTGAAGAAGGGTCCGTGATGAGTGGCCTCAAGTGGATGGACTCATGGGACATATGAAAGATGGTTGTGTGATGTACGAAAGTTTCCTGAGTCCGATTGATGGTGTTGGCAGAGGGTATCCTCCAAGCCATGTCTGCAATACAAGATAAACCTGCCAGCATATTACATTTACAAAACAAATTGTCATTCAACCATCGTCATCATCAACGTGGTCCAACTTGATATTATATTTTCTTGACCCTAAGGTCCTTTACATGTTTTTGTGCAAACCATACTGGAGTTCGGAATGACAATACTGGTCATTTATTTACAAAATACTTATTCTGTGTAGTTTTACTATTTTAATGGTTTTGTTATTTTTTACAGATTTTATGATCTGGTATTTTGTACATTTAACCTTAAGCAAACCTTATACGGAAGTCATTGAATCCTCAAGTTACAGATCAGTTCAGTTTGTTTTGTTTCCACCGTTCTCGTTCGGACAACAGTGGGAAAATGGCAGCTGTGATGAAGTGATGTAGGAAGTAAAAGTAACAAGGAGAGATGCCTGGGATGTATTCATGAAGTTATCAAGGACTAACGAATCAAAGTCGTATTTGGATAATGTTTCAGAAAAATGAAATGAAATCCAAAACTGAGCGGTAAGATTCTCCCTGTCTTGACAAAACTCTCGGCATGTAGAAAACAAAGACATCAAATGTATATGTCAGAATCCGGTGTTTTGTACCAAGCCATGTTCCTCCTCTAACAGTTTATCATGGTCGATTGTTGTATCATAGATTATTGTTTCAATTAATTATGGGGAAGTAGACCTGTATTTGTTTTATCCTTCATTCTGAAGTTTTGTGCAATTACATGTTGTTAAAATACGGATGTACGTTTCTGATACAGTAGATTGCTCTCTCATACTCTGTGAGATGCATCGGAGATAGACTTGAGGTGCATCATTGATGGACTTGAGGTGCATCGTTTATGGACTTGAGGTGCATCATTGATGGACTTGAGGTGCATCGTTGATGGACTTGAGGTGCATCGTTTATGGACTTGAGGTGCATCGTTGATGGACTTCAGGTGCATCGTAGACTGCCTTCAGGTGCATCGTAGACTGACTTCAGGTGCATTGTAGATAGACTTCAGGTGCATCGTAGACTGACTTCAGGTGCATCATAGACTGACTTCAGGTGAATCGTAGTCTGACTTGAGGTGAATCGTAGTCTGACTTGAGGTGCATTGTAGACTGACTTCAGGTGAATCGTAGTCTGACTTGAGGTGAATCGTAGTCTGACTTGAGGTGCATTGTAGACTGACTTCAGGTGAATCGTAGTCCGACTTCAGGTGCATTGTAGATAGACTTGAGGCGCATCGTAGACTGACTTGAGGTGCATCATAGACTGACTTGTTCATGCAGTAATTGGTTCATTATTGTGTGTGTATAATAGACCTGGACCCCGCTTCAGGAAGCAGTCTTAGCGCTACGGCTATCGTTGATATATGTAAACTATGGGCGTTACAATTATCTTAGCGTTACAACTATCGTAATGGGCGGAATCCCGCCATTTTTATGGAACATTTTTTTATGAATCCCCCTAATCTCTACTCCCCCACCCCCCTTCTTAAACAACCTTCACCCATACAACAATGTAGAAAAGTAATTGTCTTGCAAGTCTTTTGTACGTATGCCATTGCAAATGTTGGTTTGTGTTTTGTATTGTTTATGGTTGTCACATTCCATTCAAAGTGTATGCAATAGATTGTGAGGGTAGCATGTTATGGTTCTTGATGATAGTCATGTTTGGGTAACCATGGTAACACATATCATTACACAGAGATGACAACAACGTAGGACAACATTATGCAGATATATATTCATCTTCCCCGTCATATATCACTAGTACTATATTTATGATGCTTACTTATGATAACAAGTCAAAATTAAGATCACATGCTGATCCTGTCAAATGCATCTTCCCGAGGCAAGAGAATGCACTAGCCTTTTTATCAAAGTCTTTTTTCCACCCTTGCCACATCAAGCACACTTTCATGTGCTAAATATGATTGGACTGTCGCACATATCAATAGTCCAGTCAGAGAATGTTTGACAAAGACAACATCCATGATTTACAGCTGCCTGTCTTTGTTAACATGAATATGTCTCTTCATCTTTTAACACCCCCCCACCCCCCAACGATTGCCTATGTTTTTGTCAGGGATGAAAACGCGAATGTTTTCGTTATCTCATGAAAGAGGTCATCATCGTCTATGGTAGTCGTCATTTTTGTGAAGCTATACGAGATCAGAACAGCGATCTGATTGGATATCGTGGTTTCATTACAAGGGGCGCAACTCTTGATCTACGTGAGGTGGCGCCAGGGTCAAGCCAAGAAAAGTGGCCTTAGTGTGGCAAGGGTAGATACTAGGCTTTGATATAGGCTAGTGGACAAGGTTGCCTTGGGAAGATGACCAAAATATTTTGTCCAATCATATAACATATAACATGTAATCCTGGTACTGGCGGGTGTATATTTCCAAGGATAATGGTTATGTTGAAGCACATGCCACTATGCCATCTACACAATGCTGTATCCTGAATATCTTATGATGAATGTATTTTGTAATCATGTGCTATATCATATATCTGTTAGTATGATAAGGGGTCTGTATAGGAGAAAACATTTATTTTTATAGTTTGTGGAAAGTACTTTCAAAAAAGGAGCTCAAGAAGTGTGCATGCTGATACTGAACGTGAACGAATATGATTGTGTTATCGAAGACGTCAATTGAAATTGTTATGATTGTTATAAGATATGTTTATGTGAATGAGAGCTAGACTTTGTTCATTTCAACACATGCATATCTAGGACTTATTTAAATATAAGGTTTAAATGTATCAAAAAGGCTGATTTAGAGGTTTTTAAAAAATGCATTTTAACATTTAAGCATGAGCAAGTCTTTGACCCAAGGTGATTTTTTTGGGACACGTAGATCAAGACTATAAAAATTTGCCAAAAAATTCGTCTTGGTCACAGATTTGCTCATAGTTAGATTTGGTTTTAAGTTGGAAAAATCAGCATTTTTTTCTAATATCAGCCTTTCAGAAGTAAAAGAACTCACAAGTGTAAGAAAGAACAGCGTTTCTTGTCAACCATTTGAAATCTTTTTAGAAATGTCATACCATACAAAATTTGCCAAAATTTTAAGATTTATTATTTCTAATTGTCCAAAAAGGGCCCTTACCCTACATCGTGTTTTATGAAATCAGACATTCCAGACTATAAGTGGGAAAACTTTGTCAAGGTATTTTTCAAGCGTAGTCTGAAATGGAAGTCGCCAGGTTGAAACGAGTGCCGTAAAGCTCGAGAAAGCTGCTTTCTAATTGGCTGATGTTGACTTCTTGTTAGTCATTTCAGTGATCGGTCAAAGTTCGCGAAAGGTCGTTCTGACATGACCCGTAAAGGGATGTCCTCAGATCTTTGTTTAGCGCAGCGGGAAGTTAGATCTGATTTTTATGAGATTGCTGGTTGTTGTTAAAAAAATGTTTTGTGGGTCCCAAAACAGCTGTTCCTTCTTGTATGTCTTGATGTCAGAAAAACGTCCAACAAAATCCCCCCCCCCCCCCCCCCCCCCCCCTACACATCGTTAAACGGCTGATCCAAGATAATCACTAATGACATGAGTTGTCCCCCCTATTCCTGGCATCAAGGTCACATTTGTCAAATGCAATAGTGTTGTTTTTGCCTCTTCTCCCCTTCAACTAGAAGACTTGGAAACAGTCTATATTCAATACACACAAAGTATCAGAGAAAACTATATGACAAAAGCAAGCTTTATATCTCGTTGTCAATAGTTAATCATATTGTAACTTCCCTTTTCAGAACGTTTTTTGATATTATTCAACCGCAAAAACATAAATTCATAAATATCCAGAATAGTATTTTCACATTAATGTTCCTTGTAACTTTCTTTGTAATGCCAGTATTGATACCTGCTATACATGATACATCATCTTATCTTATTATGGGTGAATCTAGATCTTTGTTGTCAGGTGTACCAATTATATTTTTCGGTTCATGACATGACATCTTAGGGATGTCTGCTGGACTGTCTTAGTGTTTTCCTTTTTGTAAGAAACACATTTCTAAAAATATTGTTTAGATTTCTTTGTCCAAATGAAAACTTAGGGTGTCATTGTGTATTCCATTACCGGGGGGACGGTCGGGTAGCCTAGTGGTTAAGGCGTTCGCTCGTCACGCTGAAGACCCGGGTTCGATTCCCGGCATGGGTACAATGTGTGAAGCCCATTTCTGGTGTCCCCCACCGTGATATTGCTGGAATATTGCTAAAAGCATCGTAAAACCATATTCACTCACTCACTCCATTACCAGAGTCACACTTTTTAACTACCTTGTGAAATTAACACTTTAACATGGAGGAGGATTGCAATATAAGTGCAATAATCTTTAATGTGATGTTGAACCCCATTTCACTTCACCCCCCTCACCATGGAGGGAAATCTCTCCCATTGGTAAAACGTTTTGCATGAAAGTATCATTAATAGTATTTAACCTTTATGAATAGTTTAATTACATCTTGATATCATGTTTTTCAATATCTGTTATTAAAATAAATAAAATTTCTTTATGTGAGTGTGATAATATTTTAGCAAATGGATAAAAATATGCACATTTAGTCTTTCCCTTATATTTCTTACATGTAGAGACTTATACTGATGTCAGATGGTGTTATGACTTAGACTACAGTGTAGTGGCATTAGAGTTTAAAGAACTTAACAGTGCTATTCTCATCGCATGTTTGCTGTATGCAATATTAATTCGCGATCTATGGCAAAATAGGAATCAATTGGTATTTCATTTGATACAAAGTGACCTATCTGATGATTTGACTTTTTGTCTGTTATCATTGGCTGAATAGCCTCATTTTTGTGACAGATTTTTTAAAAACTTTTGTGTTGTTAAAACCTTACATTTCAGTATAAGGTCACCATCTGACCTCCTCCAAATCCAGAACATACAAATCAAAATCATATACACCATGTCAATAAAACAGTCCGCGTGATTTTTGTACTCGAGGTGGATGTTGATATGATTACTGCTGACTTTCAAGAGTACATGGCGCATGATGCTTTAGTTACTCCCATCAGTATTTGAACATGATGATCTTGCTGCAAGATTCTGCAGTGTGACCTGACACATTCCAGTGGCCATCTTCCCGAGGCAAGAGAGTTAATTGACTTTAAAAGTCCAGTTTCCACCCTTGCCGAACTAAGCTGGAATTACTGGGCTCGATTGTAGCGCCACCAGTGGCTGTTACCAGTCATGTCCCTTCTAAGCCTCTACTATGGACCAATCAGATCCACCTCTCGTTTCACCTGGGTTTGCTTCACACAAAATGGTGGCGCCCAGTCAGGACGATCTGATCGATAATCAAGATCTATATTGTGATCTATATTGTCTTACATCGCGAAATGCGTCAAATCACGTGAGCACCTTGATTAAAAACATGAAAAGATTTGGAAAATAGCTGCTGACAACGAGTTGGCGGTGCATATGCTTTGCAAATCCTGCAATCGACCGAAATCTGCATGACAGCTTACGAACCGGATTTCGATTTTGGTGCGCGATTTTGATTGGACTATGCATAGACTGGTTAGTTCAGCCAAAATGTAACTCCATAATACCAGCTTAGTTCGGCAAGGGTGGAAACTGGACTTTTATAGTCAGTTAACTCACTTGCCTCGGGAAGATGTCCAGTGGCTGGGCAACAATATCACTTGTGTGTATAAGTATGATATTGTCTTGAAGTATGTTATATTTTGTGCAATACACATTACTTCTCTTAAATCACAGCATTTCTTGTAAATCCTTGCAATAAGCAGATGGTATTTAACTGATATCTAATCTACAGTGGTCCCTCGCTACAACGCTACCAATGGGGTCCAAATAATTGGTGGGCGTTATAGACGATGAGCCGTTTAACCGAGGCCGAGGCGGGGGAGCCCGCTCGGCAAATCTCAAATCATCAATATGTGTTTATCTCACGTCACGTCAAAATAGTATATATTTTTATGGACCTAGATCTACCTGTAATATCATACATTTATTAAATGTGTCACATTTCACAATGTCTGAAATACGTATTCCATTTCAATTTATCATTTTTTATGTTTTAAAACAGATTATTAGAACTCCATTCAGCGATAAACGGTTGATTATGCAATGAGAAGCGTTATGTGCAAATGAACAACGAACAATAATACAATTATGTCTGTGTAAAACTCTCAGTAATAAAAGTGTACATAAATTTTGGGAGCCATGCGTTACCGCGCGTAGTAACCGAGGTAGCGCTTTATCGAAGAGCGCAATAGCGAGGGATCACTGTATTTGTGACTGTTGTTGGGTGTGTGAAAGGTGTTATCCATATTGCTATGCATATATCAGCTCTCCCGTCCATGTATGATCTGCTGAGAGTAAGGAATGCTATGCATATTTCACAGTGAAAAATACCCATGGACAAACATACCAACTTGCTGATGGTATGGTTGAATTTTATTGTGTTAAATGTTTTGTGATAAGCTGAATTTTGTGATAAGCTGATCAGTCATATAAAACAATGATTATCACTTTTTTCAGTCTTATTCTTGAAAATTGTATGTATATATGTTACTGTTGACAATGCATTGAAATGGAGCACATGGAATATTTGTTGTGCAGTATTTGTGCACTTTAGTGATCAAATTCATAATGTATTTTTCTATGATTGATTGTATTTTGTAATTTTTCTGTTTCTAAGTTATATCATTTTATTATTTGTCAATAAATGCACCAATAGAATGCTAATTTGTTGAAAGTGATCCCTCGCTACAATTCTACCTTCGGGGTCCAAATAATTGATGAGCGTAATAGATGATCAGCGGTTTTATGAAGGTCGAGTTGTAGGTGGTGGATGACCAACAAAACAGTTTACATGCTCTGCCTACCTAACACGATCTACGTTGCACGTTTCTGAGTTTCAAAAAAAGATTAGAATAGAAGTTATTTATGATTCTTAGTGTAAAAAAAGATTTATCGAGTATTAATATGCGCTTTAAAATAAAACATCACATCGTATTGCTTCAGGTGAATAAGCAGGTAGAATCTAGATCTATAACAAACATGGTCAATAAAAGTATGAAATTTTATATACAACATCACCAGACATGATGATTTACCATTTAAAATGTATATCCTGCTCTCAAAGGCATTGTTTTATAAGTAGAGATTAAGATTACCGTGGGGGGTATGGGTGGCTCAGTCGTCTGAGGCGCCGTGATTCACTGTGCAGAGTTGCGTCCCTTGGACACGCCAGAAACCTATGATTGTGGGTTCGAATCCCGGTTCGCCCCGATTATGTTTCTAGGTTTGTCAGCACCATACCCGTGCTCGTCGGTTTCACCGAAGCGGTTAACGTCTGAGACCTGCATCACTTCGGGCTTTCCTCCCACATTAAGCTGACACGCCGTGATATAACTGGAATACTGTTAAAAGCGGCGTTAAACCCAACTCACTCACTCACTCACTAAGATTACCGTGTGTAATTTCTCGTAAACTAAGCCGGAAATAGCAATCAGCTGTGCACAGATTTCCTCCCAATTTGTATTTGGTCTTTATGTTTATGGTAATGCCAAGAAAACATGATGACAGAAACAAACTTCTTCACTTTATGTGTTTTCAGATTTGTTGGTGTCATTGAGTTTTCAGTGCTCAGAACTTTCAGTTTTGTCATCCACATTGTTCAGCTTCCCATGCATTAAATGAGGCCTGAGAGTCTGAAAACTTAGACTGTTTCACCACATTGAAAATGCTAAAGTTTCCTGTAGTTTTTCCAAGCACTCTCCTTCTACATGTACCCTTCTCTGCAAATAGCAGCAATAATACTGATTTGACGTATTGCAGTATTCACTCACTCCTAGTGTACTCATCACAGGGAATAGCAGCAAGATTGCTGGTGTGGCATTATGCAGTACTCACTCACTCCTAGTGTACTCATCACAGGGAATAGCAGCAAGAGTGCTGGTGTGACATTATGCAGTACTCACTCACTCCTAGTGTACTCATCACAGGGAATAGCAGCAAGAGTGCTGGTGTGACATTATGCAGTACTCACTCACTCCTAGTGTACTCATCACAGGGAATAGCAGCAAGAGTGCTGGTGTGGCATTATGCAGTACTCACTCACTCCTAGTGTACTCATCACAGGGAATAGCAGCAAGAGTGCTGGTGTGACATTATGCAGTACTCACTCACTCCTAGTGTACTCATCACAGGGAATAGCAGCAAGAGTGCTGGTGTGACATTATGCAGTACTCACTCACTCCTAGTGTACTCATCACAGGGAATAGCAGCAAGAGTGCTGGTGCAGCGTTATGCAGTACTCACTCCTAGTGTACTCATCACAGGGAATAGCAGCAAGATTGCTGGTGCAGCGTTATGCAGTACTCACTCACTCCTAGTGTACTTATCACAGGGAATAGCAGCAAGATTGCTGGTGCAGCGTTATGCAGTACTCACTCACTCCTAGTGTACTCATCACAGGGAATAGCAGCAAGATTGCTGGTGCAGCGTTATGCAGTACTCACTCACTCCTAGTGTACTCATCACAGGGAATAGCAGCAAGATTGCTGGTGCAGCGTTATGCAGTACTCACTCACTCCTAGTGTACTCATCACAGGGAATAGCAGCAAGATTGCTGGTGCAGCGTTATGCAGTACTCACTCACTCTTAGTGTACTCATCACAGGGAATAGCAGCAAGAGTGCTGGTGCAGCGTTATGCAGTACTCACTCCTAGTGTACTCATCACAGGGAATAGCAGCAAGATTGCTGGTGCAGCGTTATGCAGTACTCACTCACTCCTAGTGTACTCATCACAGGGAATAGCAGCAAGATTGCCGGTGCAGCGTTATGCAGTACTCACTCACTCCTAGTGTACTCATCACAGGGAATAGCAGCAAGATTGCTGGTGCAGCGTTATGCAGTACTCACTCACTCCTAGTGTACTCATCACAGGGAATAGCAGCAAGATTGCCGGTGCAGCGTTATGCAGTACTCACTCACTCCTAGTGTACTCATCACAGGGAATAGCAACAAGATTGCTGGTGCAGCGTTATGCAGTACTCACTCACTCTTAGTGTACTCATCACAGGGAATAGCAGCAAGAGTGCTGGTGCAGCGTTATGCAGTACTCACTCACTCCTAGTGTACTCATCACAAGGAATAGCAGCAAGATTGCTGGTGCAGCGTTATGCAGTACTCACTCACTCTTAGTGTACTCATCACAGGGAATAGCAGCAAGAGTGCTGGTGCAGCGTTATGCAGTACTCACTCCTAGTGTACTCATCACAGGGAATAGCAGCAAGATTGCTGGTGCAGCGTTATGCAGTACTCACTCACTCCTAGTGTACTCATCACAGGGAATAGCAGCAAGATTGCTGGTGCAGCGTTATGCAGTACTCACTCACTCCTAGTGTACTCATCACAGGGAATAGCAGCAAGATTGCTGGTGCAGCGTTATGCAGTACTCACTCCTAGTGTACTCATCACAGGGAATAGCAGCAAGATTGCTGGTGCAGCGTTATGCAGTACTCACTCACTCCTAGTGTACTCATCACAGGGAATAGCAGCAAGATTGCCGGTGCAGCGTTATGCAGTACTCACTCACTCCTAGTGTACTCATCACAGGGGATAGCAGCAAGATTGCTGGTGCAGCGTTATGCAGTACTCACTCACTCCTAGTGTACTCATCACAGGGAATAGCAGCAAGATTGCTGGTGCAGCGTTATGCAGTACTCACTCACTCCTAGTGTACTCATCACAGGGAATAGCAGCAAGATTGCTGGTGCAGCGTTATGCAGTACTCACTCCTAGTGTACTCATCACAGGGAATAGCAGCAAGATTGCTGGTGCAGCGTTATGCAGTACTCACTCACTCCTAGTGTACTCATCACAGGGAATAGCAGCAAGATTGCTGGTGCAGCATTATGCAGTACTCACTCACTCCTAACGTACTCATCACAGGGAATAGCAGCAAGATTGCTGGTGCAGCGTTATACAGCATTCACTAACTCACTCCACATGTACTCATCACAGGGAATAGCAGCAGGGGGCACGGGTGGCCCAGTCGTCAAAGGCGCTGTGATTCACTGTGCAGAATTGCGTCCCTTTGGCACGCCAGAAATCTATGATTGTGGGTTCGAATCCCGGTTCGCCCCGATTATGTTTCTAGGTTTGTCAGCACCATACCCGTGCCCGTGGGTTTCACCAAAGTGGTAAACGTCTGAGACCTGCATCACTTCGGGCTTTCCTCCCACATTAAGCTTACACGCAGTGATATAACTTGAATACTGTTAAAGCGGCGTTAAACCCAACTAACTCATTTAATAGCACCAAGATTGCTGTTGCAGTGTTATGCAGTATTCACTCACTCACTCTACATGAACTCATCACAGGGAATAGCGGCCAGACTCCTGGTGCAGCATTCTGCAGTATTCACTCACTCACACTACACCTATTTTTCCAGACCACGCACTTCTTGCCTTTTATCTCCAATTGAATCTGTGTCCTCAATCGAGGGTTATGCACTAGTAATGACGTTATAAACTACCGGGCAAAAGAAAGTTTTCACCGACTTCACTTGACCAAACACCAAACACAAAGGCATATGTGAGATTTATGATGATTAATTTATAAACAGAAATCATTTTCTATGAATAAGAATGAAAATGCATTGTAATGCCGATATTGCATTTTTTTGCAATACACAAAGAAAGAGTCAAGGGGGCCAAATTAAAAATTACACAAATCAGAGTTCATTGAAAAAGTGCATGAAGAGTCCATTAATGACACAGTAGTAAGGTAACACGTCATCAATAGCGAGTGTGACCACCCTGGGCATCCATGCACGCCAACACACGCCTCCTCATTGACGTCAGTCGGCGGATAACGTCAACAGGAATCCTGTTCTATAAGTTCAATAGAGTCTGTTCAGCGAACCGACAGAAGCTTGGAGGCGTTACATGTTGTCTCAGCTGACGATCAAGATGATCCCAGAGATGTTCAATGGGGTTCATGTCTGGAGAACAAGGTGGCCAGGGCAATACGTTGACGTTAACGTTGTTCAGGCCCTGCGTTGTCTTGTTGCAAAATTAATCCTCTTGGCTGATGTTGAATAAAGGGCAAAAGGTCTCAACACTTCATCACTGTATCGCTGAGCATTCAGGTTTCCTCGGTTGATAGCCAGCCGTGTTGTAATCTGGCCACAAATGCCACCCCATACCATGACGCCTCCACCTCCAAACGGGTGAACTTCTCTAATGCAGTTTGGCGCCAGTCGCTCTCCCCTTCGTCGAAAAACTCGAGCTCTGCCATCGTTCCCGAACAGACAGAACCGACTTTCATCTGTAAAGAGCACTCTCGCCCAGTCACGTCGCTGCCACCGACGTACAGTTCGTGCCCATTGCAGTCCGCGTTGACGGTGTAGACGGGTCAAGGCCATTCCACGGAAGGGTCGGTAGGCTCGTATACCAGCCGTACGAAGTCGTCGAAGGACTGTTCGTCTGCTGATGGCATTCCCTAGTGCTGTTGCCTCCGTTGACGTCGCCGTCATACATCTGTTTCGGAGGTGAATATGCCGGATGTAGCGCTCTTCGGCCGGTGTTGTCACTCTCGGTCTTCCCGATCTTGGCCGGTCTTGAGTCTGTCCTGTCTGTAGGTTCTGGCTATCTGACGTAGAGTAGACCCAATATTGGCCACACCGATCGTTCTGTCTCGTTGCCATTGTGCAAGTCTGGGCATATTCTTGGTGGTTTTTTGCTTACTGAATGCCTGCTCTGTCCAACGTCGGTATTTATGCCACAATCACGCACGTGCATTTGGACCAATGTCTCAAAATCACGTTTTGCACGTTTTCAACAATGCATGATTTGGAAAGCTGCTTTCGAAAATCTGCGTTGTTGTCGTCATGTTGCATTTGGGCGAATGTTTTCTGCGGGGATTCAAACCTGTACCAGCTGTTTTGCTTTTTATACAACTATTTTTAAAGTGAAAGATTTCCTTTGCCCGGTAGTTTATATCAGACATACACTGAACGTGAAACGAAATATTCTCAGTATTGCTGATTGAATATTTCTTGAGATGAACTTGACCTGCATGTGTTGGAGTGAATGAGAATGGATTTACATGTCTTCAGGCATAATCTAGCATAATCGCATCAGGGAACACTAAGATTGTGTCTTCACCCATTGTACCATGTGTGGCATCAGACGGGACTGGATGTCTCGCATGCAAATTGTCCATGAATCATTTGACCTTTAATAAGTGAATGACACTGAGCATTCGGTTAACTGTTTCTGGCAGGCCTTGAAAACGTGTTCACGATGTCAACTGTATGGCTGCACGAGGCATTGCTGTTAAACACTGTTAAAGAGTGGATGGACTTCATATAAATTTTGTCTGCATCATCTACGTATCAACAACACGATATACACGTTTACATCAAAATAGACCTGAACACATGTAATGTGTTTGTTTGGACTAGTGGATTTTAAATTTGTGAAAATATTTCTGCATTTCATCGCAATTATACACTGTTGGACCCACTTGTTTCTGTTCTGTGATTTAAAGTTTGACCTTAACCTCCTTTAGTTTTTAAGTACATACACGAGGCACACTTACATTCAGTCTAAGGGTTACTGCATTACGTGACTGACCACCACCGTGGAACTACGCAGTGGAACTACGCAGTGTCTGCAGGATACATACAACACGCAGGTATTGTGTTAGACCGTGGCTTGCTTCTGTCAACGCATGTAGTATATTAAAGAAACGCCACGCCACTGACTGTAACACGTCCGGCGCCCGCGGCTTGCTTCTGTCAACGCATGTTTTATATTAAAGATACGCCACTCCAATCACTGTAACACGTCCGGCGCTCGTGGCTTGCTTCTGCCAACGCATGTTTTATATTAGGGGGGTCATAGTACTACGGGTCAGGTCCAAATACTATGGGGTTCTAAATACTTCTTTACACCGGCGCTCGAGGCCTGCTTCTGCCAATGCAAGCAGTATATTACAGATACCACACGCCGAAAACCGTAATTCATCCGGCTTGTTTCTATAAACATGCAGGAAATTCAAAAAATGCATCTTGTGTGTCTCTCTTAACTGCATTTGCTTCCTCGAAACAAATGTTATGATAACATGTTTGGTGCGTCCCTTTGGTGTGTTAACGTTCAATGTCTGCAAATGAAAAATGTAACACGTCCAACGTCCGGCTTGTTTTGTCAGCACGCAGTATGTGAAGAAATGCAACCTACCTTTTCTTTCTGTTCATTGTTTCCTGTGTCTAATCTTAAAAACTGTTTAGTACTTTCTTCTAATATGTTTTAGCACATCTTCTTTCCATGTTTTGTCCATCTTCCCGAGGCAAGTGAGTTAACTGACTCTAAAAGTCCAGTCTCCACCATTGCCAATCTAGGCAGGAATTCCTGGGCTCGATCGTAGCGCCAAGTGTGGTTATTACGAGTTATGTCCCTTCTAAGCCTCTCCTAAAGACCAATCAGATTCCACCTCTCGTATCACTTGCATTTGTTCCAAACAAAAAGGCGGCGCCCAGTCAAGACAATCTGCTCGATAATCAAGATCTATATTGTGATAAAAGAGTGCTTACATCGCGAAGTGCATCAAATCACGTGAGTACCTTGATTAAAAAGATGAAAAGACTTGGAAAATATCTGTTGACAACGAGTTGGCGGTGCATATGTTTTGCAAATCGCCCGAAATCTGCACCACAGTTTACGGACCGGATTTCAATTTCGTTGCACGATTTTGATTGGACTAGCAAACACCCGTTAGTCCACCCAAAATGTAACTCCATAATACCAGCCTAGTTTGGCAAGGGTGGAAACTGGACTTTCATCGTCAGTTAACTCTCTTAACCTTTGTCATGTCATTATGTTGTTTTCAGGTGTTTTTGTATATTGTCTTGTTGCTTGCATGTGTTTTGTTATATTGTCATGTTGTTTTCAGGTGTTTTTGTATATTGTCTTGTTGCTTGCATGTGTTTTGGTGTGCTGTCATGTTGTTTTCAGGTGTTTTTGTATATTGTCTTGTTGCTTGCAGGTGTTTTGTTATGCTGTCATGTTGTTTTCAGGTGTTTTTGTATATTGTCTTGTTGCTTGCAGGTGTTTTGTTATGCTGTCATGTTGTTTTCAGGTGTTTTTGTATATTGTCTTGTTGCTTGCAGGTGTTTTGTTATGCTGTCATGTTGTTTTCAGGTGTTTTTGTATATTGTCTTGTTGCTTGCAGGTGTTTTGTTATGTTGTCATGTTGTTTTCAGGTGTTTTGTATATTGTCTTGTTGCTTGCAGGTGTTTTGGTATGTTGTCATGTTGTTTTCAGGTGTTTTTGTATATTGTCTTGTTGCTTGCAGGTGTTTTGGTATGTTGTCATGTTGTTTTCAGGTGTTTTTGTATATTGTCTTGTTGCTTGCAGGTGTTTTGGTATGCTGTCATGTTGTTTTCAGGTGTTTTTCTGTATTGTCTTGTTGCTTGCAGGTGCTTTGTTGCGTTGTCATGTTGTTTTCAGGTGTTTTTGTATATTGTCTTGTTGCTTGCAAGTGTTTTGGTGTGCTGTCATGTTGTTTTCAGGTGTTTTGTATATTGTCTTGTTGCTTGCAGGTGTTTGGTTATGTTGTCATGTTGTTTTCAGGTGTTTTTGTATATTGTCTTGTTGCTTGCAGGTGTTTTGTTATGTTGTCATGTTGTTTTCAGGTGTTTTGTATATTGTCTTGTTGCTTGCAAGTGTTTTGTTATGCTGTCATGTTGTTTTCAGGTGTTTTGTATATTGTCTTGTTGCTTGCAAGTGTTTTGTTATGCTGTCATGTTGTTTTCAGGTGTTTTTGTATATTGTCTTGTTGCTTGCAAGTGTTTTGGTATGCTGTCATGTTGTTTTCAGGTGTTTTGTATATTGTCTTGTTGCTTGCAGGTGTTTGGTTATGTTGTCATGTTGTTTTCAGGTGTTTTTTTATATTGTCTTGTTGCTTGCAGGTGTTTTGGTATGTTGTCATGTTGTTTTCAGGTGTTTTGTATATTGTCTTGTTGCTTGCAGGTGTTTTGGTATGTTGTCATGTTGTTTTCAGGTGTTTTTGTATATTGTCTTGTTGCTTGCAGGTGTTTTTGGTATGTTGTCATGTTGTTTTCAGGTGTTTTTGTATATTGTCTTGTTGCTTGCAAGTGTTTTGTTATGCTGTCATGTTGTTTTCAGGTGTTTTTCTGTATTGTCTTGTTGCTTGCAGCTGCTTTGTTGCGTTGTCATGTTGTTCTCAGGTGTTTTTGTATATTGTCTTGTTGCTTGCAAGTGTTTTGGTGTGCTGTCATGTTGTTTTCAGGTGTTTTGTATATTGTCTTGTTGCTTGCAGGTGTTTGGTTATGTTGTCATGTTGTTTTCAGGTGTTTTTGTATATTGTCTTGTTGCTTGCAGGTGTTTTGGTATGTTGTCATGTTGTTTTCATGTGTTTTTGTATATTGTCTTGTTGCTTGCAAGTGTTTTGTTATGCTGTCATGTTGTTTTCAGGTGTTTTTTGTATATTGTCTTGTTGCTTGCCGGTGTTTTGGTATGTTGTCATGTTGTTTTCATGTGTTTTTGTATATTGTCTTGTTGCTTGCAGGTGTTTTGTTATGTTGTCATGTTGTTTTCATGTGTTTTTGTATATTGTCTTGTTGCTTGCAGGTGTTTTGGTATGTTGTCATGTTGTTTTCATGTGTTTTTGTATATTGTCTTGTTGCTTGCAGGTGTTTTGGTATGTTGTCATGTTGTTTTCAGGTGTTTTTGTATATTGTCTTGTTGCTTGCAGGTGTTTTGTTATGCTGTCATGTTGCTTGCAGGTGTTTGGTTATGTTGTCATGTTGCTTGCATGTGTTTTGGTATGTTGTCATGTTGTTTTCAGGTGTTTTTGTATATTGTCTTGTTGCTTGCATGTGTTTTGGTATGCTGTCATGTTGTTTTAAGGTGTTTTTGTATATTGTCTTGTTGCTTGCATGTGTTTTGGTATGCTGTCATGTCGTTTTCAGGTGCTTTTGTATATTGTCTTGTTGCTTGCAAGTGTTTTGGTGTGCTGTCATGTTGTTTTCAGGTGTTTTGTATATTGTCTTGTTGCTTGCAGGTGTTTGGTTATGTTGTCATGTTGTTTTCAGGTGTTTTTGTATATTGTCTTGTTGCTTGCAGGTGTTTTGTTATGTTGTCATGTTGTTTTCAGGTGTTTTGTATATTGTCTTGTTGCTTGCAAGTGTTTTGTTATGCTGTCATGTTGTTTTCAGGTGTTTTGTATATTGTCTTGTTGCTTGCAAGTGTTTTGTTATGCTGTCATGTTGTTTTCAGGTGTTTTTGTATATTGTCTTGTTGCTTGCAAGTGTTTTGGTATGCTGTCATGTTGTTTTCAGGTGTTTTGTATATTGTCTTGTTGCTTGCAGGTGTTTGGTTATGTTGTCATGTTGTTTTCAGGTGTTTTTTTATATTGTCTTGTTGCTTGCAGGTGTTTTGGTATGTTGTCATGTTGTTTTCAGGTGTTTTGTATATTGTCTTGTTGCTTGCAGGTGTTTTGGTATGTTGTCATGTTGTTTTCAGGTGTTTTTGTATATTGTCTTGTTGCTTGCAGGTGTTTTTGGTATGTTGTCATGTTGTTTTCAGGTGTTTTTGTATATTGTCTTGTTGCTTGCAAGTGTTTTGTTATGCTGTCATGTTGTTTTCAGGTGTTTTTCTGTATTGTCTTGTTGCTTGCAGCTGCTTTGTTGCGTTGTCATGTTGTTCTCAGGTGTTTTTGTATATTGTCTTGTTGCTTGCAAGTGTTTTGGTGTGCTGTCATGTTGTTTTCAGGTGTTTTGTATATTGTCTTGTTGCTTGCAGGTGTTTGGTTATGTTGTCATGTTGTTTTCAGGTGTTTTTGTATATTGTCTTGTTGCTTGCAGGTGTTTTGGTATGTTGTCATGTTGTTTTCATGTGTTTTTGTATATTGTCTTGTTGCTTGCAAGTGTTTTGTTATGCTGTCATGTTGTTTTCAGGTGTTTTTTGTATATTGTCTTGTTGCTTGCCGGTGTTTTGGTATGTTGTCATGTTGTTTTCATGTGTTTTTGTATATTGTCTTGTTGCTTGCAGGTGTTTTGTTATGTTGTCATGTTGTTTTCATGTGTTTTTGTATATTGTCTTGTTGCTTGCAGGTGTTTTGGTATGTTGTCATGTTGTTTTCATGTGTTTTTGTATATTGTCTTGTTGCTTGCAGGTGTTTTGGTATGTTGTCATGTTGTTTTCAGGTGTTTTTGTATATTGTCTTGTTGCTTGCAGGTGTTTTGTTATGCTGTCATGTTGCTTGCAGGTGTTTGGTTATGTTGTCATGTTGCTTGCATGTGTTTTGGTATGTTGTCATGTTGTTTTCAGGTGTTTTTGTATATTGTCTTGTTGCTTGCATGTGTTTTGGTATGCTGTCATGTTGTTTTAAGGTGTTTTTGTATATTGTCTTGTTGCTTGCATGTGTTTTGGTATGCTGTCATGTCGTTTTCAGGTGCTTTTGTATATTGTCTTGTAGCTTGCAGGTGTTTTGGTATGCTGTCATGTTGTTTTCAGGTGTTTTTGTATATTGTCTTGTAGCTTGCAGGTGTTTTGGCATGCTGTCATGTTGTTCTCAGGTGTTTTTGTATATTGTCTTGTTGCTTGCATGTGTTTTGTTATGTTGTCATGTTGTTCTCAGGTGTTTTTGTATATTGTCTTGTTGCTTGCATG